CCCGAGCCGGAGGCAGATGCCCAACTGACTGAGCCACCCAGGTGCCCCAAGAAAATAGGTATTTTAACAACCCTGAGTCTTCCAATCCATGAACATGGCACAGTTCTCCCTTTTTGTATGTTTTCTTTAATATCTCTTAGCAGTCTTCTAGTTTTCAGTGCACGTACCTTCTGCTCTCTGGCCCAAAGTTTCTTAACTACGTAGATTTATTTCAAGATATTTGAGTTCATTTTCTTGAATCAAAAGTTTGGAAATGTTAAAAACAAAAAAAAAAGTTTGGGAATGTTATATGTTCTCTTTCTCCATAGATTTTCACAGGACATCTAAGCGTATTTCTCTTATAATCACCAATTGATACAGTTGATACACTAATTGATACTTTGAGGTGCAGAAGTTCTAAGAAATCATTTAACCTGCAGCCCCTCCCACAAAAGAACCTCTTAAATATCCACAGTTGAGGGGCTCCTGGGTGGCTCAGTCAGTTAAGCGTCTGACTCTTGATTTCGGCTCAGGTCATGATCTCAGGGTCCTGGGATGGAGCTCCATGTTGGGCTCTGTGCTCAAAAGGGAGTCTGTTTTGAGGATTCTCTCTCTCTTCCTCTGCGCCTCCCTCTGCTCTCTCAAATAAATAAATCTTTGGAAAAAAAAAAAAGATCCACAGTTGAAGGTGAAGACTCCCTTCTTCCCATGTGGGTGACAGAATGGAGGCAGGAAAAGGAAAAAATGTACAATGTACCAAGTTCCCTTGGCCAAGCACAGAAATTTTGCATCGTTTTGCTAGTGAAAAAGGAAAAAGCCATGGGAAAGATGTAGAAGCAGTTACAAAATATGTCATGTTCAGTTTTTCTTCTAGTCAGTCTCATACCAGGCAGAAAGTCAGTTTTTCTGTTAGAAAAATGTCTGCAAAACCCCAGCAATCCATGAAAATAGCTGTTACGAGGTGAGGGGAGGAAAACCATCTCTGAGTTACTTGGCTTATCACTGTAACACCTTAGAGGAAGTTTTGTTAATGGCCCAGTGGATCAACAAACGTGCTTCTTTTCCTAGAGCTTCATTGTTTCAGCAAGTTACTGCAAACTACAATGACTGTGTGCCTAAAAAGAAAGCTAATACATTCCAAAGGTCCTTGCTTCCTACAGTTTCTCAGGGCATTTATTTTTCTTTGACACCAGCTGTTCTCCAGATCTCAACTCCATCCTTAGCATTATTTGCCTCTAGTCCCTTCAGGAGCACCTCCCACCGTCAAACCAGATTATTTTTCTTTGTGCTATTCTCCTACCCACTCAAAGCCAAATTGAACAAGAAAAAAAAATAGTGCAATTTTAATGCCAGATTAATATGTTCATCAACAAAATGTTTACTGAGCACTCATGTGTGCCAGGCACTCTTCTAGTCACTGGGGACATCGGCAGTGAAGCAAAAAGACCCTGCCCTTTCACTCTCCTGGGAGAGAGAGATAGTAAACCAGTACACGTCATCTGTCCTTAATGAAGTCAAACAAAGCAGGGTAAGGGGGAATAGAGAATGATGAGTTGGGGGTGCTAAAATAGATTATTTAAGTCAGGGAAATACTCAATGTAACATCGCCTCATGTACTGATTCGTAATGCTGCGAAGGCTGGTACTGCTGTAATGGCCTTTAGATTTTGGTTGAGGGCTTGATGCGAAGTCCATGTTCAGTAAATCTGATGGAGTATGCAAAATACTTCAATTCTACACTTGAACTTGGACACGTCTTGACATCGTGGGGGTGGAGTATGTTTTTAGTCCATCACTCGGAAGTGCAAAGTCCAAACTTCGTATTCCTTCCTCACAACTGTTGCTAGCTAATTCCAGGGGCTCAGGAAAAACAAAAAGGCAGGGAGTCACAGTTAATCACTTTCCTCCAGGACCAAAGAGGCTACCATCTCCTCGTCTTTGGCTTCATCTCTGGACTAAGACCCCCAAAAGAGCCTTGGGTAAATTCACCAGTCAAAGAATTTCTCAGCCCAGTTGACTAAGACTCCCAAAACAGCCTTGGATGAACTCGTCCATCAAAGAGTTTCTAAGCCAGTTATACAGCATAGGCAGGGCAAAAGATGAGAGGAGCTAACAAAATGCTTCAGGGATTCATTTACTCATTAATAGTCATTTTCAAAGCAACTACCGTATACCAAGGACTGTGCTAGAGTTGGCGCAAATTATTTCATCTCAGTCCAGAATCTAACCTTGAGTCACTTAGATTCAGAAAATCGTATTGTTCATACATTCAGAGATGATTAGACTTTTGATGACAAACTACCTGTAATTAACTATAATTAAAATAACCAGCAAATGCTAATTAATCCATTAATTTATACAGTGATTTAAAATACCTCTAGCCAGGCCTGCTGCTATCATTTGTGGGGTCAGGGCAAGAATCTGAATGGAGGCCTTTGTATCATTTGTCTAAATATTTAAAAGTTTGAAATCATGCTAACAGACCATGTGTACATGTGTATATGGCAGGGGGGAGGGGAGCAGAGTCAAAGGCCTTCCTCTGTGCTACACCACAGGGTGGGGCCAGCCCAGATGTACAGATTCTGTTCACATTTTCCTGCTAAAAGCTCCACCACCCCTCATGCCCAGGGATATGCAATTCTCTGGGGAGGTTACCCCCAGGAGGATGGCCCTGAAGAAGGGGCCACACGAGCTCTGGAAACAGGGTGGGACATTTGGGTGGAGAACTCAAAAGTATTCTAGGAGTTGGGGGTGTGAGGGTCTCCAGGCATGCACCCTGTCCATGGCCACATGGACTCCTCAGAAGAAAACTAAAACAGGGCCTCTCAAATGGGCACCTAAAGCCATAATCCTGGGCACACTCTGCCCACTAGTGAGGTACCAGGAAGGCAAACAGAATGCTCCTGGGGAATTTGTGTGAAAGAAGGGTGGTTTCATCAGCTCTGGAGCTGAGGCTTGGTTGACCAGCCACACCTCCCAGCACAGAACACCTCACCCCAAGAACCACGAGGATACTTGTTCCCCAAATTGAAGAGTGTGTCTCTTATAATGGGACTGACATAGTTTGCTTCCTCGATAATGCCCTTCTCCCCAAGGCTCAGGGGTTACAAAGATTTCCTGCAGATTGGGAGAATTAGGGGCTAAACTCCAGCCCTCCCTCTGTTCACCAAGTCGGGCTGCTGGGCCCAGAGGAGGACCATTTTCTAATTCACACAAGTACCTTATCCGGTAGCTGGGATCCGCTGCCCACCCATTTCCACCTCTGTGGGCCTGGGCAACTAGGTTCTACCCACTGACACAACTCTCAGGTCTCTGGAGCGCCCCTTGTATAGACCACAGGGGATTGTTCATAGGGATTCCCTGAGACCATTTATCTTATGAGACTCTCAAAAGCAGAGAAGACCCCAGAAAGCCACCAATAAGTGTTCAGATAATAGACATCTTCACGATCCAAGGGTAAGTGGCTTAATTTAATGACCTGACTAGATCTGTGATAAGGATACAGTATGTTGTTGTGTTGGTGGCCCTGTCTCCATTCTGTTTGCTTTAGAGTCAAAATTAACCATAACCTAGCCTCTCAACTTGCTAATGCTCATGACAAATAATCGCCTACTCTAAGCAGGAATTAAATGAAGAAATAGACTGGCAGTGATTCTTCTTTTGGATGTGTGACGAGAAGCTCAGAAATAGAATCAAATGCACTGTCATTCTAAGAGATGACAACAAGAGGCAATTTCAAAACAAGCCTCTCTTGTGAACCGCTGGGCCTTGATGACACAAGAGTGATTTTTCCATTACTGACAAGAGCAAACCAGTGCGGATAGAGGTGGATGATGTTTTCCTGACAGCTGAGCCAGACTTGACCTTAGTTTCAGAGAAATCTTCTCTTTGAGTCCATCTGTGTGTGCTGTGTCGGTTCGGCCATCATTTCAGGGACTCCAGTGGATCATTCTGGAAGAAATACTGTGCCCAGGACTTGGACTTTTCTTTTTCTCCTTTCGTTGACTCACTGCAACCTACCTGGAGTGTGGTTTACCTCTGATAGGCAATTTCAGCCTCTTTGGGGTGGGGGATGATCTCTGGGGGAGAAGAATGAGGAAGACAGGAAACCATAGGAATGAAGAAGGAAAGGTATTTGAAAACATGCTTGGATCTGAAAAGAATTTCTGTAGGTTGAGGGCTACAGGGACCTGGGAGAGAGGTCTGACACAAATATAACACCTATTTCCTTGGGTTCCTCAGTCACTTCTAGATGCAAGTTCCATGGGATTTTCTCCCTGTTGTCCTCTAAAATCCCCTCGTGCTGAAGATTCTCTCCTACAGTCCTCATATTGTTTGGAAAAATAAATGTATCAGCCATAGTTTAGTTGAAGCAGAGCCACTGTGAGCTGTGCAGAAAGGGATTTATCCTAGGAAATAGACCTGGCCCCTTGTGGGAGGGGTGGAGGAGTGGAGATCGGCGGGGGGGTAGGATGATAGGAGAAGTCACCCACGTTGCAGACAGAAGCCCAGCACACCCAGCTGGAAATTGCAGAAGGGAACGCCCCCCCCCCCAAACTACCAGAAGCTGCTCCCACCTCCGTGGAGCTGAAGAAATGTCCGATGGTGGGCTCCAGGCTGCTGAATGTTAACAGGGTCAGCAGTTGGGAAGAAGATCTGGACACAGGGGAGTGAGGATCAGCTGGGACCTTCTGTCACCAAGCCCAGCCACAACAACCTGGGGAAAGTAACAACTGTTACTTCACACTCACCTTCCCCATCTTGTGCAAATTCCTCTCTTGGCCAACTCTAACTCGGAGCCATAAGGGAGGGGCATCCTTGGAAACTGATTCTAGCTCGACAAGTCAGCACACTACACACTACGGACTACGCGCCAGGCAAAGTAGCAGCGAATTCCCTGACAGAGCTCCTCCAGCACCCAGTCCAGCCCCCCAGACGGAGAAAGCGCTGGACGGACGGTTGCCAAGGTTGAAAGTCTCCTTTAACAGATCAGAGTAAGTTTTATCATCCTGGAGACTGGAATATGTGAACAAGCGACTAAGAGGTTTCCCACTAGCAGGGAATAGGGAAAATCTTTACATGGCTAAGGTGAATTTAGACGGACAGCAATCTTCATTCTGAACCGAGGTACGCTACATTAACAGCCGCTCTCTGCTGCAGCCAGATTTAAAAAGAATCTTTCTCTCGGAAAGGCCCTAGCACATGCATATTTAAAGAGTCCTTTTAACACACAATGTTATTCGAGGGGAAATAACCTTAACAGAAACTGGGACGATTCTACATGGTTAAAATGCACAAGTCCATTTATCAGTGGCGCTTAGAATAGCTCCTTGGAAGAGAAAATGTTTATTAGAATCCAATTTTTCTCTATCTGTATTCTCCTCTTTAAAGAAAGTGCTGAGTTGTATATTAACACTTCAAGGTCTTGACTACTTTTTATCTTGAAAAAAAGAGAGAACATGTTTGTCATTCCAGGAGCATAATCAGTTGAGCCGGCACACAATGACATAGTTAATTCACCAACGGAATTTGTTGCCATAGCTCCAGGGAGGGACCGGGTAGATTAAACAATGGCCTTTTTCACGAGGGCAGCTTCCTCCACAACCTGCCTGTTCCCCACATCACAGGCCATCAGAGAGCCAGTCCAGAGCACAGCCGTTGTCAGTGAACAAGAGCCCAGAGGGGACAAGGGGAGGCCGGTGGTAAATAAAGCAAGAACACCCAGCACCTTGGATCTCTGCTTATTCAATCACTGGGACACGACTAGCTCCTCCGAGCGTGTCTTCAAGCTTAACCTTTGGTCAAGTGCTCCGGTAAATCCAGAGAAGAACAGTTTCACCCTGTGACTCAAAAGAACTCCAAAGGGAAGAGAGGACCTCTAGATAACAGGGAAAGGAGATCAGGAGCAGACATGGTGGGCCACCAGGAAAGCACCACAGAAGGGGACGTCCAGGACAATGGCACTCCCACATTCTGGCGCAAGGTAACGGTAATGTACATGCTTTCTTAGTGATTTTTTGCCTCTGAATATCAAAGTCAGTCCAAAAAGGGAAGTCATAGGTATCTGTGAGTGCAATGGACCTGTGCTAATTAATATAGTCACACTCAAAATGGAAATATTATCCTCTCCATCTTAAGGTGATAAAAAAGAAAAATTGTGACTCATCTTTCTTTATCCCCTGACTGAGTATGCAAGCTCCCTGGATAGAATTAGATGACAGGAACAGATTCTTTCTTAAAAAAAAAGTCAAATCAGTCTGAGGAAATGTAGGTGGTTGGTTCAAGGCAAAGAATGATGCTGTGGGAGCCTGAGGGCTTTGGAGAAATGTTTTAACCAAGCATTCATTATCCTATAAAATGGGAAATTTTCCTATTAGAAAAGTCACAAAATCCTGACACCCATTTCTGAATTTCTTGGAATGCAATTATCACGGAAGTGAGACCACCACATATGGTCTTTTATTTTGGCGGTGGGGGGGTGGGGCCCAGGGGAATGTGCATTTTAGTGGAGCCTTGTTAAACCAAATGAGTTCTAGATAGAAAAAGTTTAGGTGGTGGGATGAAATAGTAAGCAGATTTCAGATGATGTGAAGAAGAGATTAGGGCCCGGGGAAGCTTCCTGGCAGTGATATGTTTCTGCCTCACAGTAAAGCTGGTTTCCCACCACACCCCTGAGAGTGGTTTCTCAGGTCTCAGGACATCAGCTCTGCTCTTTCCTGTTTCAGCACTCTTTCAAAACCTCCCCATGCCCCTTAGAGTGCCTGTGGATGCCTGGTTAAAGCACCACATGCCTCACAAAGTAGTCTGGGCCCACAGCCACCGGGCGCTTGAGCAACGTGACTGGTAGACCATCTCCCACAGCTGGTCCCTTCCCCATTCATCTCAGTATTGTCTCTGATTTGGAAAAATGTATATATATATATATATATATATATATATATATATAAGATTTTATTTATTTATTTGACAAAGAGAGATGCAGTGAGAGAGGGAACACAAGCAGGGGGAGTGGGAGAAGCAGGCTTCTCGTGGAGCAGGGAGCCCAATGCGGGGCTCCATCCCAGGACCCTGGGATCATGACCTGAGCCGAAGGCAGACGCTTAACGACTGAGCCACCCAGGCGCCCCAGAAAAATGTATATGTTGAGGACTCATGAGTTTTACCAGCTCATTTTGTTTAGTAAATGGGGGAATCAGGAGGCATTTTAGTCATTCATTTATTCATTCGTTCATGCCTCATTCTAAAAATAGATTTGAAATGGTATCAAAACAACTAGATTCAGTTCTTGACTGCTATGGATATTAAAAGTTGAGTTGATCTTTCTATGTCCCGTCATGTAGAATTAAATCTGTACAAATAATCACTCTGTTCTCCCATACCTTTTGTGAATTGAAAAATAACCAAAGCCTTCTCATCTCATGGGTCTCCCAAGAGCATCACTTACTATAATAATGGCTGCAATTTGGGGTCACGTGGCTGGCTCAGTCAGTAGAGCATGTGACTCTTGATCTCCGGGTTGTGAGTTCGAGTTCCATGTTGGGTGTAGAGACTACTTACAAATGAAATCTTTAAAAAAAATAGTGGCTGCAATTTTTAGTCCTTAGTAGGTGACATGCCCCGTGCTAAGTACTTTATGTACCTTATTTCATGTGATTACGTCCAACAAAAGTGCTTACGCTCCTAACTACTTACCTCTTCTGCTAATTTGTAACTCTTAAATGGGCTGGGTTTATTTAACCTCCTTGGGCAATCAAGATGTTAATTGTAACAATAACAAAGAAATGATTGCGTTGACATTTTAATCACCCTTTTGGGTTCTCAATGTACTTTACTACACAAGCTGACCTCAACTTTATAAATTTAACTTTCTGATTCCCACTGCTTTTGTGCACCATACACTGATACCCCCAAGCTAATGGTACTGCTTACCGGCCAATAGTTATAAACATTGTAATTAAATATTTTATCTGAACAGTGAGGATAATCCTGAATTTAATAATATTTATGAGCTCCCTGGGAATGCAAACTCCCTTTAAATGAGAGAGCTGGTTATTCATTTTTCACATATTTAACTTTGGTACTTGATTAACACTTATTTGGAAATCGGAGAACGCCTGAATACATCTCAATTCCTCTTACTCCAAATCCTGTGAGGTAGATATTATTTATGTTCTCATTTTTCAAGTGAGAAAATTGAAACGCACAAAATTTAAGTAAAATGCCCAAGTTAGTAAGGGTACAGTACAGCTGGAATTCAGGGTCTTGAAATCCATTTTCACTTTCTCTTTAAGCCTGCACTGTCAAATAAGGTAGCCCCACTAACTGCATACGGCTGTTTCAATTTAAATTTTAATTCGTTAAAATTAAATAAAATTTAAATTTTTGTTCCTCAGTGGTACTAGCCACATTTCAAGTGCTCAGTAGTCACATGCAACTAACTAGTGGCTGCGTTATTTGGGCACAGCTAGAATATTACACCACTGCAGAAAGTTCTATTGGATAATACCGTTTTAAGTTGTAGTGTCTCTTTTCAGTATGTTGACACATATCCTCAAAATATATTGCAGTTCTGTTGTAAGTAATAAGGATTTAATATTTTACAGTAAAATTTCATCCATTGGAAGTCTCCTCATTTGCATAGCACCAAGTTAATTTTGATCTGCAAATTAATAATATAGATAAGAGTCAAGGAGACATTAAACGCACTTCAGAGACCAAAGATTTTTAAGCACCATCAAATAACTCCAGAAGCACTCAGTTAGATGCAAGCAATTGATATGATAATTATACATCATTTTTATTTATTCATTAAAACAGGATCCCCTAAGGTGCCCTGGTAGGAAGTAATATGGTTAGCCTAGTTCTTTCTGGCAAACCTTCTGCTATTTCTAAATTCTATGTAAAATCATTTTATACTACTGATTTACCTTCCTCTCTTCCATTGAGTCATTAAGGAAATTAGTAGCATAAAATACAATAAAAATTTTATGAGCTCAAGATCTAATTCTAAAACCCTTGCTTCTTCCACTCTATCCCAGGATACCCTGGAAGGAGTACTCCTGTGGGCCCCTCATAGAGCCTGGAACGCAGGAGGGGTTCGATAAATATCTGTTGATTGACTGACAGACAGTTCTTTCAAGATGTCACTCATTGGAGTGAACTCCGATTTTCTATAGAGAATTCATGGATCAAAATGAAAACTCTCTCATTTCTTCTTTCCCCTTTACCAGTCTTCATTGCAAGATAAGGGCTTCCTATTTGTGAGGAAAGATGATTTCCAGGCATTTGGGGGCAGGGAGGGGGGTGGGGGCTCAGTGCACTCTTGCCTGAGGATTTAGAACCAGATCTGTCAGCTCCTCTAGCAGGGAGAGCTACCTTCCCAAGGCACCAGTCATCGTGTAGGCCCATCAGTTCTTAAATACTAAGTCTAGCACATTTGCCAGGTACCGTCCTGTTTCTAGGTAATAGAACAGAAGAAGAGTTGCTTAGAGAAGAATGACGCTTGAATTTCTAAATCTTTAGCTGAGGTGGATTCTTGCAGCTTGCTTGAAGTGGTCCTATCAAAGGTGGATTCCTTTTCAACAAAGACACAACTCAATGCCTCAATTTAGCGGTAAGCTCCAAAGAATATGATTTGTCACTTCCTTGTCTTCGGTGAGGAAAATTTCTAATGTGTAAGCCCTAAGCAAAGAAAGAAAAAAAATAATTGAAACAATATGAATGTAGGTTGAATATGTAGTCTTTCTTTGGAAGGAATTAAATAATTTGGAACACTCCAAATTTCTGAGGTTTAGATATCTGAGCATCTTTTATTTTTTTATTTTTTTTATTTTTAAGATTTTATTTATTTATTCATGAGAGACAGAGAGAGAGAGAGGCAGAGGGAGAAGCAGGCTCCCAAGGAGCAGGGAGCCCGATGTGGGACTCGATCCCAGGACGCTGGGATCATGACCTGAGCCGAAGGCAGACGCTTAACCATCTGAGCCACCCAGGCGTCCTATCTGATCATCTTTTAAAGGCATTAGGGGAAAGTAGATAATACGTTTTTACTTTTTGTTCCAAAACACAATTAGAGCTTCTTTCCTCTCCTCCATCTGTAATTCCTTCACGTTACAGCAACAGGCATGTATTTGCACAACTCGCAGCTAATTCAACACAGTCTTGGAAACTATACGGTAGACTGATCCAAGGGTCCCATGTCCTGTTTACTCCAGTCAACGGATGTATAATCACCACCATGGACTGCTCTGCTGATAGTTCTCTCCCTGAAAATTGACGGGTAGTGCACGAGCTCCATGCCTGCTCCAACTGAATCTGGGCTTCTAGAGGACACTAATCTCTCTCCTTAAACGATACATACCCACTCACTGGGGTCCTCGAAGCAAGCTTTGACTACTGGGCATCCTGGAAATCTTACAGCTCACCAGAATGGCTCAATTAGCACACAAAAAGATGCAGAGTGAGAGGTGATACCTGTGTCTGCTGAAACCTGGGGTTCTTCTGGTCTTCCCAGTACTGGAAACTATGGGAAGAAAAGGAATCTTACTGGTCTCTCTGATTTTTGTCCTTTATTCTCAGCAAGTTGGAACTAGCTCTCACATGTCAGGGAGCAAAGGATATACAAGAACTGGCATAAAATTAATCTTGCCCCATTCTTGCAATGAGGACTTATAAGGTGAGAACATACTCTTTGTTTCAATCTCGCCAGGTATTAGAGCATTCCATTTTTTAAAATTTTAAAATTTTTTATTTTTTTTTTAAAGTAATCTCTATGCCCAACGTGGAGCTTGAACTCATAACCCTGAGATCAAGAGTCGCATGTTCTACCGACTGAGCCAGCCAGGTGCCTCTGTTCGGGCATTGTAAAGTTCTCTTTGACTTCTCATGAACTAGAAACTTTCTCTGTCTTTCTCTCTCTCTCTCTCTCACACACACACGCATGCACACACGTACACACAGAGACACACATGGAAAGAGAAGAGA